CCCGCCCCCCGCCTCCCCAGCGGCGCCCCAGACCCAGCGCCGAAACGCTTAGAGATACAGAAATAGGAATGATTTAATCCCGCGACACCTCCCCCTTGCTGCCCATTCCTCAACCGGCGAGCTCCCTGGAAGGGCGGGAGGCAGAATCGGATCCAGCTCCGCCTTGGGGGGCGGAAATGGCCCGAGTTGGAGGCGCTGGGCCGGACAACGCCTCTTAACCGAGTTAGGTTCTTGCAGGGGGAGAACAAAGGTCGCCTGGGGTCGCCCGTAGGCCCTCGGGGTGACCTCGGTCCGGCCCGGCAGCCGGGACACGGGTCTCTCCCAGGGATCTCCCAGCAGGGGTCTCTGGGCAGGGAGGGGGCACACATGGGTCCTTAACCCCTGCACTGCATCATCACCATCCATCCAGGAGTGAGGCAGCCCAGCAACTCCAACAGTGACAGATGCTACAAGGCCAGGTCTGGTCCACACGCTTCCACACACATCACTGCCAACATTCCCAGGGAAGCTGGTGCCAGATCATGCCCATACGCAGCGTGGGGCGGCCGGTGACGCTCTCCGCCCGTGAATGCGCCCATCGCCCGTGCTCCGCACTCAGAACGCGGCGAGCCACAGAACTTTCACTGACCATGAGCAGATCACATTCTAGAATTTGCCAAGGACCAAGTATCAACTTCCAGAAATAAAATTTGAAGTCGAAAGGTACATGCTGCCTTCATTTTAGTGCGGAGTTAGCAGCAGTTTCAACAATTCTCGTTCTCTGCACTTTGAGCCGGGCGAGTGGGCTCCATCACCCGCACCCCAAGAGCGCTGGGGCGCGCCTGCCGCGTGGGAACGAGACCAAAGGAGCCGATTCCAGTTGTTGAGAAACATAATCACATCACTCCTCTTTTCTTTCCCCTTCTCCAGGTTTCGACTGGAATCCGAAAGCGCCTCTGATGTCCATTCTTTGCAGAAGGACACTCAGAGGAGGCAGGGTCTCCATTTGAACTGCAGTGTGCCCATTTAGCTGCACAGACTAGAATGAAAGTGTGACCACGTCTACAGCACACAGCTGTGCAAATCAGGAGCCTGCGGATGCGCGGGGCTAAGTGGGACTTAACAGTGTGCAGACACATGGGCGCATGCACGCGCGCGCGCACACACACACTCACACCCCAAATTACCTCCGGGATGGAAAAAGCCGCTACGGATTGGCCAACAGAGCCGTCATTCTCACTCAGGGGGCAGGGAAACTTTACAAGGCTGTTTCCTTCCCCCCACCCCCCACCCCCGCATTTCATTTAATGGTAAAAGAACAGCAGAGCTCTGAAAGTTAGCCATCTGTGGGGAGAGTTTTCCTTCTTTAACGAGGGGGGCATCAGACAATATCCACTTAAGTATATTTTGTACTTCCACAATGGATGAAAAGGGAAATTAGCAATCCCGGGAGGGGGCGAAGAGAGAGCTCAGAGTAAGGAGAAAGGGGGGTCCTCCGGGAGGGGTGGACGCAGGGTGAAGAGCTGTTCTCCACATTCAAAAGGAACTTTGACCTTTCACTGATCTCGAAATAAAAAATGTTTTTTCATAGGTCAGATTATGAAAAACACCGGTCCTAATTTAAGAATTCATTCTTTTAATTTTATTTAAGTATGCGCCAGCAATCATGTTTCCTTAAGAACTGACCTATTTTTGGCTGGAGATAAATGATCATGTTAACAGATGTTAATCTTGTAATCTGTTTTTCCTGTAAGCACTTTACATACCCGGGTTTCAGACCTTAAAAATATCTTTTCCAAAAAGACCTGACGTCACAATTCACTCCCTGAAAAATGACTCCCCCTCTCCCGTGTTTTTTTTTTCCTCTGCAATGATTTCAAAGACATTAAATCTTTTTCACTTTATAAACGCCGATTTGTTCTGCCTCAACTCCCACAGGCTTTTATTTGCATTTCAAATTCCACAGGTTACACCAGTCGCCTTTTCAAAAAAATGTAAACCAACAATGAAGCAGCAAATGGCTTTTTGTGCATCTGGATTAAATAAGGCACAGAATGAATATATTTTAAAAGTGGCCTCAGCAAGTTAATCTTTGCACACCCGGAGACCAAGTAATTCTTTACCAACAAGCCCAGCGGAATGAGTAACATACAAACACAGCCCAGAAGCTCCCCGTCTGCTGCAGGGAGCTTATTAAGGCTGATAATAAATGGGGCTGACTTACAGACCCACATTTTCTGGTAAAAGGCTGGGTCTCTCTGGTTCCTAACCGCAGGGTCTACTGCCTTCCCAGCCCACTAGGGCTGATTGTCACCGCACCAACCTTCCTCCTATTTTAAATAACCAACGCTCTGGTTTTTAGCGAACTTATCCATACAAAGTTTCTTTAAAACTTAACGAGACGGTTTAATCTAAAAACACTGGTCGTAGCTATTCAGTATGCTAGTTCTCTCTGGAAATAGCAGACTAAGCGCTTTTCCAACCTGCACCCCCCCCACCCCCAACACACACACATCCACAGCATTCTTTTCTTGGATATACCCGGGTATATATACATTGAGATCAGTA